TTCCCAAAAGTTGTTCTCATCCAGGCGCCAGTGGACTGCAGTTTCGACCTCGCATCGGTCTTATCAACACAATCCCAACGGGAGTCGAACTATGACAGGGCAGATATGAATTTCAAGAAAGGCCAGGCCTTTTACCATATCACATTCTTTGGTGGGATTGTCGATGAAGCAAACGTATATTTGCTATAACAATCGACTGCGCTACTTATTTTTCGTATTGGAGTAGAGTTTCGAGACTACCAGTAAATCAGTAATATGAGATGTGTTCACCCGATTTCGTTTAAGGTGATGAAGGACTGGTAGAAGAAGAATTTTCCAACAATGGTATGAATAGAGCTGACGTTTCCATTGAATTTCACATAGCCCTGCTTTCCCAAAAGTTCTTCTCATCCAGGGTCAGTTATATTTCTGCCCTCCGAAAGTGCATTGCGTGAATGTGGCAAACTGTGCAGCCCTTAGAGTATGATGAGCTTCGTGAAAGTTCGAGAATCATCACTTACGTATCAAAAAATATCCTTCTACTTCATATTAAAATAAGTCGAGGTCTAGTGTTTTCTTGGTGCCAAGGATTGCGCTCCTCTTGAACCTTAAAAGCGTGGAATAGAATGCCGACTAAACGTTCTGGAAGACAAAATCCAACAGTAAATTGATGGAGGAAATGATGACAAGTACAGCAGAGAACGTAGTTGGCAGGTCTCCCTGCGATGCAGCAAAGGGAGAATGGAGCCCTACACCATCTTGGCCGTCTGATGCGTTAAGAAAGCCAACCGTATTGTGGATCCATCCAGAGATCATGGAATAGTGTATTTGACGATATGGCCCCTCCAGACGTCCATCGAAATAATGCAGAACCAGATGATGTCCGTTGCCGACCGGCGGCTTCCCTTGGAGCTCGAGTTGGGGCTTTGCAAACAGTCAACTCGGATGCAAAAGACTCCGAGTTCAGTTGGGCCTGGCGAAAATCGCGAGTCGACAGACGAGGCTGAATCAGCAACGCCCATAAAGTGGACGATTGAAGCCACGATTTCCACGTCCGTTAGGAACTCAAGGAAGGTGGCATCGCAGCAGACCCTTCTATGGAACACAACAGATCCGTTTCAAAAAGTCCCTTGCCGCACTTTCGTGAGGACCTTCTGATGGACAAATTGAGATCGGAGCAGTCAAACACCTTTTGTACGCCACAATCAGCTGACTTAACCGGCATCACGAAAGGAGAGGGTTGCAAAAGAGAGCATCTGATTAGTCAGTCCTTTCAACAAAAAGGTCGAGCTCAAAGTAAAGCTGACTCGGACAGAAGCAACCATTCCATGTCCCCTAACTCGACAACCCACATGCCTGGGCGGAACATGTTTTGGGGCTCTTTATGTCCCGGTTGGCCAAGATGTAGACGCCGCATCCCGTCGATTGGGTCGTCTGCCACTCGGCGAACGAGGCCACAATAGTGACGACGTGACGCGAATCATTCTGTGGCTAATTGACGTCCAGCGCAGACTAGGGACCTCCACACTCTGGCCTCCGATCTCTTCACCAGAACATCTCGCGCAGTAGGACGATGAAGACGTTGAGGTCGTCGTTTGGAATACCTTCTTTTCCGCACTGACGCTAATGCTCTGGAGATGTCTGGGGGACACACGTGCACGTATCGGTGTTAGGGATTCACGAACTTTTTTTGCTACAGCTGGGGTCTTTAACGCTAATTCCATGTTTCGTTTATAAGTATCCTTTCGACAGTACCACTTCAAATATAAATGACCACTGGTAGACTCGAAAATAAGTAATATAGTAGATTGCTATGGCAAATACAACTTCGCTTCATTGACAATACCAGCAAAGAATGTGATAGTATTAAACGCCCGGTCTTCG